TTTGTGTTTTCAGATTTAATTTTAGTTTAATTTTTAATGTGCTTTTGTAATTTTTGTTTATATTTAGGTTTAATGTAATTGAGTTTAGTTTGAGTAATTTTAACACTTAAACATGTTTATTTCATTTTTTTCATTATTTTAGTTTAGTTAGTGATTTTACTAGCTTTAGTTAGTTACCAGTAACAGTACTGCATTGTAGTATGGACAACAGCTGTAACATTCTTTAAAATATCTTTTTTTTTGTATTCCATAGAAGAAGAAAAAAATATGAGGGTTAAAAAAGTGAGGGAACAGATTTATATATTTTGAGTGAACAATACTTGTGTAAGCTGTGGCTTTTTACTTTACAAACGGTTCGTTTAACGATTCATTTTTCCAAACCCCTCCTTCGTGACGCTAATCTACGGTGATTGGTCCGATTGGTCTCATTTTCATTTCATAATGCCTGATAAAGCAGTGTTTGTGAGCGCAGTGCTGCTTTGTGTACAGCGTTACTGGGGAAACCGCTATTCTACCGCTCCAAAAGCGGCACCTAGAGGCAAAGAATGAATTAGCATTTCCATTCAGACCAACGCGAAAAGACCAACAAGTGGGCGGGCGATATGCTAATGTTTCATGTTGACGTCAACATGAAACGGCTTGGGATTCGTTTTAAAAATGACTCGTTTCAATGATTCAGAGTCGACTCTTTCTTTTGAGAGACACTAACTTTATACATGGTGCACTTTCAGATTTAAAACTTTGCAGGATGTTTTCATTCACGTAGAGCTGTGTTACACACTACATGAAAGGTAATTTTCAAAAATCCATAATAGGGCCACTTTAATGGGACACCCTGCAGTATTGTTAGACTTTGCAGATGGGCATGAGCAAAGGTTACAAGACCACAACTCCACATAAAGTGAGCCATTTGGGACAGGGCCATAATGTACATTATACATTTATCATCCATCAGTATGGCTGCTTTTATTCTAAGAGCAAAGCTCTCCTCTAAATGCAGGTATTGGGTCAATTACAGAAAGTAAAATACTTGCCTGTAAGTTGTTGAGTGGTTTTTTTTTTTTGAGGTGAATGACCCCTCTCTTGTTGACTTAGTGGATAATGAAAGTATTGTGATTTTTGACAAGGAAATAAATAAAGTATATCTAAATAATACAAATGAATTCTTCTGCAACGGGGTTTGTAAAACTAATCTGCAGCATTATGAACATTATTAGCTAAATGGATTTGAGACTTGACTTGACAGATAAGTAAGACTAAGGGACTTTTCTGATGTGTTTCCTATCTTCTCTTAATCTTTTATGTTAGTTCTTCGGTGTTTGCCGCTAACTTATGTACTTCATAGGTTTTGTTGACTGATATAATGGAAGTTAGTGTCATTTTAGAACTAGGTCTTAATCTTTAAAGCGCACGTGGATTAGGCTGAGTGTAAGTCTTCGTGTGCATGGCTCAGAGGTGAATTTGTGTGGTCGGGTGACTTTATCTGAGGATGTGGACTTATAAGGAAGCAGGTCAGTGCGCATTCACAGTCCTGCCTATTTGATCAACTCCTTATATTACCCTCAGTAGATCATGAATCACACATAAAGATATATATGTTTGTGTGTGTTCATGCATGGGGCCTTAACATGGTGAACTGGATCAAACATGCACGAGTTAACACGCACAGGTGCGTGGATGGTTACAGTCTTTGTGCTTTTCAGGGACTGATTTTAGACTACATACTAGAGTTTTTATATACTGTACTCAAAGAGCAGTGTTTTATTACAGGTATATTTCAGGTTCAAAACAAGTTATCCTCAATAGACAGCATTTATAGCCTTGTGTTGATTAATACAACAAAAAAAAGATTTAGACATCTCTTTTGTTTTCTTAAAAAATCAAGGTGATGGTAAGATATTTACAATGGAATACAATAAATTACATTGTTAAAATGTATTATTTGGATTATAAATCTGTTTACCTAATCATTTTACAGTCCTTTTAAAGTTTTATGCATTATGTTGTCATTTTAAATGGGATATTTTGTCACAGAAAAGGGTTGTATATGATTTTTTTCACACTAAACTCTTAATTAACACAAATCTTGTAGCTATACTTTTAAAATAGTGTGTATTTTAATGGATTGGCCCCATTTACTTCCATTGTGCTTCACTTTATCCCAGTTTTTTTTTTAAGAAAAGGAGGGATCATTCAAAATGCATTTTTGTGGCGATCAGCATTATTCCACAAATGCTGTTGATTGAGCTTAACATGTACTGAATCCAGAATATTTCTTTAACTACATCCAGCAATGCAAATGCAATATACATTTATACAAATAAGGCTTTTAAGTTCTAAAAATGTCAAGTATTGGCATCAGTTTGTATTGAGAAAGTCACATGTTTATGCAGTACATAAGATTTCAAAGTCTCCTCACTGATTCTCCATCTAATACCTCCTTCAGATCTGTGCAACAACATCCTCCAAATGCTTGAAAACAAAACCCAAACCCTGTTCTGTTCTGTTTTAAATCCAAAGGCAATATTACAATCAAAACATTCCCTTGTTGCACATGAACGCAGTTATGGGGGCTGTCCTAGACAGGATTGTTTGGGTTACCCCACTGTGACCGTCTGACTTCGGGCTCTGAGTGAACTATTGATATCAGCCCATATGGCTGTGGAAATGCTGAACTCTGCTGACATGTGCTGTCGCGTTGCTCTATGCTTTGAGCCACACTTAACAGCCTATAAACAAATCGGGACGATTTGATGCGCTTGTCTGTCTCGCTAATCAATCCATGGCACCACAATTAACCTACATAAAAGATCATAACAGGATTACCAGATGAATTTTCACACGTACAGACAGCTTTTGTTGTAATGACTGCAAATCTGCTGTGTTTTTAGGGTTGTTTTTCCCCAAAGATCCATTTCAACAGTTTTGACATGAAGCCACTCTCACCACAGTTTCAATGCCAATTACATTCTCTATTACATCTTCAAGATTTAAAGCAGTATTCCCATTTACCCTGATTTCACGGACCGTACTCTCATGCATCACCAGAACAATGGATCTTTCAGAGGGTGTAAATTTCTTTCCCATCCATTTATTATGAATGAGACAGGAAGAGAGATGCTTGGCCAGGTCTGCTCTTCCTCACTGGTTTACTGCACACTAATAAATAATAGCGATCCAGAAGCCAGCCAGCTATAGCAGCAGAGAGTGTTCCCAGTGTTTCAAACAACAAACGCATGAAAGGGCACATTAATGTACCACTGTGGAGCCAATAAACATCTCACCAGAGTTTTACTGGAGCATTTTGGTCACACTGTTGGCTCAAAAGTGAAAGGAAACGCTAACTGCAAGCTTGTTGTTATGGAACCATAACAAGTGCCTTGAGTGTCTGCTAACAATCTTAAAACCACTGGTTTGTTAAGAAAGCTTTGTTTTGATGCTAGACCTGTTTACAGTTCTGGTGACAAGTGCTTTGGTTACTTTCTAAAAGAATTTTTTAGCAAAATACTAAGTAGAAGTGAATCAGAGGCTGTCAAAGAACAGTATTTTGTTTTTATTAAACGAGTCTCATGATGCAGGAGACTTTTTCTGTTGCTCTTCATTATTGGTTTTCTTGTTTGTCATGTTTTTGGATGTACTGTTACTGGGACAGTACAGATTTTGCTTCAAGCTATTGTTGCTACAAAAGACACAAATCTAGCTTGACCGTAAAGCATTTTTAAAGGGACAACGAACTGTAGGACAGATGTTTATGCGTGACACTGGATAGTGGATTAAAAAAGAATGCAAGGTCTAAAGATGTGTCTTTAGAATCGTGCTCGAAGTGCTGCAAGAAACGAGAGATGTAAACACTTGTTTACATAGTGTGCAACCTCATGTCACAGGTTTGGCCATTCAGTGTGATGGTATGTTGATCTTTGTGGTGTGTGAGCCATCTTCTCTCAGTATGTATCAGCCAACTGTTAATAAGATGCAGCTAATCAAATATTCCAACTGCTAATTAGTGGATTAATGCTCTTATCAAGTGTGGCCATACAAGTGGAGGTCATTAAATTTCCTGGCTGAGAAAATGGTTGCGTAACCTCAGGCTCCCTGTGGTAAACATTTGAATCAAAAAAAAGAATACAGTAAATCTGCATACTTAAAATTTTGCTCTTGAACTAATGAATAGTACATCTGACATGTTTAAAATGATCATATCAGGGTCACAGAGCAGGTTGTTTTATTGTTAGTTATACCAAAGACCCCCAAATATGACGATAGCCTCAGGAGAGACCCCTTTCCTTAAATGCATTTAATATTTGTAATATTATAAATACACACCTTGTTTGCTTAAATAATTAGCAAACAAATAATTATATCTGCTAAATATTTACTTTGTGTTCAACTGACCATGTATCTTTTTCCAACCCACTAGTAGAGTATAGTTAAATAGTTCAACCAGTTTTAAGAAAGCAGAATGAAACAGTAAAAATGTTATTTTTATGTTACCATATTTCATATTTCATTTCATTTCATTTTATTTTCTATGGACCCCCTAGCACCCCCTTGTGGCCTCCTGGGGGTCCAACCTGGCCTAGAAAAAGCCATTTTATTCCACATAGAGTGGGTCACATAGTCAGAGAAGGCACCATTTTGAGATCACATGACCAGTCAAATACTATTGCATTCAAGGTGTTTTTTTAAGACATTTGGTTCAGTCATAGGCCATTACTTCACTCTAAGACCACTGTCATATTGGCCAGCAAAACATAACCAAAAATGACTTATTCTACTTTTAAACACTGTAAATATATCATATACGGCGTAAGTGTTGCAAAATACAAAATGACAATTTTATTGTGATCCAAACTGAGAATTTATAAACCTTTTTGTATCTTTTAAATACTTTCAGTTTGCCATATTAACAAACACAATATTATTGCAAAACTAAGTTGAATATGCATTTGAAGTAGACCCCAAATGTTGCAGTACTGACAGTTTTGTGCTTTACTTTCCAGCCTTGGTGATAACTGATGGACCGCAGGATAAGTCTGGCCTTGCGGATGAGGTGGGGAGTGAAGATGACCTGTACAATGAGTTTCGCAGCTCCTCCAACCGATTCGGACACCCAGGAGGAGGAGGAGAACAGCTGGCCATAAACGAGGTAGAGCATACTGGCTGTCTATGTGTTACTGTTTGTGTTCACAGATTGTGCTTGTTTCTCTGTCAGTGGCAAGACATTCATAGAAGCATGTTCGTTTGCATCTGTGTTTGAAACCCAAGGCCTTACAGTGCCAAAACAAACTGTGTTTTTGTATGAAGATAACTGGTTACAGACAGGCTTTCAAGGCACCACTGTAGTATAGTATGTAACTGTGCTCTTGATTCAGTGTTTAAACATGTTGGAATTCAGTCACTGTTTTTTAATAGTCTACTACCCATCTGTTCCTCTCCTGAGGCCTGAGACCAGCAGAATGACCTGCTGCCACTGTACTTCTCCTATCATCTTCAGCATGACTGAATATGAATCCGTGTTGTAGGAAGATGCTGTTATCTACAAAGAATTTCAGAGAATATGCAGAGTGTTGGAGTTTGATTTATGACTGTTTGGCATCATTTTCGAATGCTGCTCAGTAACTCCATTCAGCATTTTAGTTAGAAACAGCAGAAAAATCTAATCAACAGCCGGGCCTCTGGGAGCTTTGGTGTGCACTGAGCTGCACAGAAGCCCTGTGCTGATGCTGTTGTTATTGTTTCTGTCCTGGTATAGTATCCAGTAAATAATAAACAGGCAAAATTAAAGTGTCATTGTTTTAATAGGGAGCTAAGTCAGGCATCACTGTTACTATTGCTCAGACATTTGAAGAACCACTAGTATTAAAATTTAGTGTGTAACTCGTCCTGCACTGTTTGTGCTACAGACATGACTGATACAGTACCTCGAATCATGGTCATAATCATTTTCACCTGGAGATCTAAGTTTGCATTATAGAAGGGACCTGAGGCATATTTAGCCACCAGAATATAACCCCTCAGCAGTTCCTGGTTCGAAACCAGCAAGCTCTTAGGGTCGGTGTTTAGTCAGTTTTTCCAGCCTGAAATAATAGTTTCCTTCAGATTCAGTACCAGTTTTGGAGGAAAAACACCAGTAGAGATTTAGGCCACTAAGCAAACACCCACAGTAGCCTAGTTTACTGCAAAACATATATGGTAACACTTTAGTATAGGGACCAATTCTCACTATTAACAGCTCCACCTGTATAGATCTGCTACAGGTTATTATGATGCTACTTGTGCAGCAGCAGTCTTAAATACTCACAGCACCGTATTGGCGTATGTATTGGCAGTAGCAAGTTCTTGTGTTTGCTTTGCAGCAGCAATAATCTACAACAACAACAGCAGTGTAGCAGATCTATTCTGCCAAGACCAAATACAGTAACATTGTCATATCCATTACCATGCTAAAATCATCAGAGAGTTGTCATGATAGAAATATATTTTCCACTGAAAATATAAAAATCTAGTTTTAGTGTTAATTTCTTGTGATGGGGGGAACAGCTTGTTTCAGTGTTTGGGAGAGTGAGTGATTATTTTGCTTATGTGTGTGTGTCAAAAAGGCACAGCTCTTGATTTAAAAGGAAGTATCGTGCTGTGTGACACTGTGACGCTGGGGATGGGGCTCTGCGGCCGAGAGAGAGAGAGAACAGCAGGTTAGTGGAATCAGAGGCCTTCACTAATCCCATTAGCTGTGCACAAATTGATGCACAGGAACGAGATGAGTGAGGATGACTGCGTTAATCCTACCTCACTGACACCGGACCTGGTCAGGAAATGAAAGCTCAAGAGGTGTTTGGCACCTCATGCAGTCTTTAATTAATATCTCCAGCAGCATTACCGTCACCGTAGCACTGCCTCGAGAAGACGAGCAGGATGTGCTCACTTTTACACGGGAAGTGCGGCTGACGGGCGGCCGGCTCGGCCAATGGAGAAGCGCCAGGATAGAAAGAATGTATTGTGCTGCATTCTCTCGCATCCTTTCCCCCATAGCCGCCTCCCTCCTGCTGCCGCTAAGGCCGGCCTCCGCTACTCTGGTATCCTGGATACGCTTCACAGCACCACCAGCCGATTGGCTGGGAAGGATGAGAGGAAAAAAAACAGGAGCAAAAACAGTCAATTCAGGGAGATGGATGGATGGTTTTTGCTAGAGCCGCTAAGCACAGATGCAGCAACCATTTCCGCCCCTCAGCTTTGCGTTTTGCAAAAGAGACGGTGAAAAGAGAAGGTATTTCAAGTGCGTTAATCAGATCCAAGGGAATTAGCACGGCCGTGTGTTTAAGCAGAGCAGAAGGACGAGGGACGGGAACGAGGGGGAGGCAGCGAAGGTGAGCATAGAAGGAGAAAAACAGACAGGAACGGGCACAAAATAGCACAGAAGGAGAAGAATACATGGATGCAGAGAGACACATCCACCCCTGCTCTTGACATCAGCAGTGCGCGGGGAAAGATCCGAGGGGAGTGAGGGACGAGGAGGAGGAAGATAGCGCGCACGCAAGAGAAAGAGAAAGAGAGAAAGAACGAGAAGGGAACGGAAAGGAAGTGAGCAGGTAACTGTGGACGTGGAGGCTCTTCCCCCTCCCCCTCACGTTTCACCGAGAACACTGAGCGGATCCGGCCGGCAAACCGTGTGCCGAGTGTTTGCGCACAGACCTCTAGGCGAGGGGGTTTCCGCCGCCATGGCTCGTGGAGGCCAGCGAACGACGTCTCGGCAGGGCATGGCTCACTTCCTGTTGCGTTGCAACCTCAGCCCGGAGGCCCAGAAGTTGGTGGTGTTCGTCATCATGATGTTGCTGGTCATCATCAACGTAGTGCTGATGTTCCTGCTGGCCTTCCAGTAGGGTGCAGCCGCAGTGAGGAGAAAGAGCGAGGGGAGGGGTGGAGAGGAAGACAAGGAGGACAAGGAGGAGGAGGAGGAGGAGGGAAAGTTGGTCCCTCTCGCTCACTCGTGGATGGGTTTTCAGGATGCAGACATCACAGTGCAGGTAACAGGAATGGGTGTGACTGTGTGTGAGGTTGGCAGCATTCAGCCAGAAGTAATATGCTGGGACGGCAGCGTGTTAATTATTTACCAAACCGTAACCACTCTTGAGTGGCTTCTAGGGGTCAGGCTTTGATTTCATCTTTGAAGTCATCTGAGGGCATCTTTAGACGTTTTGTCTGCTTCTGTAGGTAGGTTTGGGTGTTTATGTGTGGGGGCCTTTGAATGACTGTGCTTGTTTTGTTGTGTAACTGTCAACTTATGGATCTATATGCTTTGATTCTGACTAGCGAGCACAATAAACATGGTGTTTTTGGCCCATGTGAGGCTTTCTTTTATGCCAGACTTTGTCCCAGAGGGATCTGTGCAGTCCTTTCACTGGTGAGCAAAAAAAAAGAGGTCACACTGGTGAGCTTGACATGGTTATAGTGGGGTTATAGTTTAGTAGAGCAGCATGGTGTGAGGAATAAAAATCCAGAAGGAAACAAATTGGAAAATCAACCAATGAACTTTGCATGGTTTGGCTGAGCAAAAATGGTATTCTGGAAATATTTGGATACTAGAACATCCAGACTAGTTTTAAAAACCTTGTTCATTCATGATCATTCATAATTTTGATTAGTTTTTTGTATGTTTGTACAATATGTGCCAGGGCTGTTTCTGATCCATCTTTGAACAAACCAAGAAGCTGTAACTCACAGGCCGTGAAGAGGAGGCACATGGGAAAGTATGTGGGTGTGTCGCTAGGCAACAGGGTACATAGGCACAGCTGTGGTGATGAGAATGCTGAGCTCTGGATTCAGGGGGTGTATATTCAGCCTTTGAGTCCATCGGTGCTGTGAGCACAAAGTATGGACAGAGAACAGAGTGTGATTATTACATCAGCACCGATAGATCACGTTTAGCTGTGCAGCAGAGATGGTTTGATGGAGGCTGTTAAGCTTGCCAGGATTTCACTTAATTTTTTCTGTAGCCAAGCTGAACAGTGTGGCAATATATCACCCCGCTTTTTGTTTACTTTGCCAAATCAATCCTTGCAAGCAGAAAGCGGAAACTTAAAATGACCACTCAGGGAAAAAGCAGACTGCAGACAGAAAAGCCTTAATTTAGTAATTCTTTCTCCAGTGATACACTGCATTTTGGTTTTGGTTAAGTGCACAGAATGAAGGGTTGTATATCATTGCATGATAACACATTATGCCATTGAGATACTAAAACAGGCAGCGAAATTGAATGCTCTGTGTTGTTACAAAGTATTTAAAATTTTTTTTTTTTTTTTGTAGCGTAGTAAGGCAAAAATTCATCCTTTAAATAGCATATATATATATATATATATGTGTGTGTGTGTGTGTGTGTGT